GGGCTTGCTTTCCCTGCTGTTGGAATCCGAGGGAGGTGATGGAGGAGCGAGTGAGAAGGAACCAGAGGAGTTCCCAGGATGCCTTAAATATGTGTTTCTGTGGATTTTAGGCATCACTCAGCCTGCACAGGGTGGGTTTGGGTGGCACAGAGGGGGTCGGGGGTGACACTGCTCTGTTCCCTCTATCCTTGGCAGGAGAATCCTGCCGGATCCAGGAGACATGAATTCCAAAAATCCTCTTTCCAGTGGCCCCCAGAGCTGTGAGCACAGCTCTGCTTCCCACTGCTCGACAGGGGATGAAGAAATCCCCCCCTTTTATTTTTTCTGTTGTTTTTTAAAGAACAGGACAGTCCCTTTTCCCACTTGAGAGCCTCCAGCCCTGCATTGTTCTGCTCTGTGCCCTTTGGAACACGTGGAGCCAGGACCCCCCAGCCCGAGGGGGAAGGTTTGGAACACAACTTTTTTCTTGTTGGTTTTTTTTTTTTTTTTGTGGGTTTGTTTTGTTTTTTTTCTCTTCTTTTTATTATTGTTCTCATTAAAACCGAACCCAGCAACCCCCTGGCAAACAGTCAGGAAAAGCTCTCCTTGCAGAATTCCTGCTGAACAAAGCTGGAGCGTGCCCACATTCCGTCCCTTCCACAACCTCCTCCAAAACACTGAAAGCGAGGCCTAGTTTGGGTTTGGTTTGGTTTTGTTTGTGTTTTTTTCCTGTGGCCCAAGAGGCAGAGAAAGAACTGGAAAGGACAAACCCAACCAGCCCCTCTCCCTTGGGCAAGTGCCGTGGAAAGGGACACGAGGCCCCCCCCCAGAGCACCTCCCAAAGGCAGGATTTTCCCACTCAGGGAAGGTCCAGAACCTTCTGGACTCTCTACCTGTGCAGCCCCACAGGTTGGGCAGGTGGTTCCTCGCTCCTTCCCGAGGCTGGAGAGCAGAGCTGGGCTGGGAAAGGCAGCACAGGATGGTCGGTCTGGAGGAAATCAGGAGCTGGCTGGAGGATTCTTGGCTTGGGGGGCAACAGTGCTGGAAAAAGAAGGAGGGAGAGTCACGTCCAGCTGCCCTGAAATGTGAAAAATCAGGGCTTCTCTCCAATAAAACTCTCCTGCTGCCTGAGGGGGTTGTGTCCAGCAGGTAGGAAGGCCACCAGCTGCCCTGAAATGTGAAAAATCAGGGCTCCTCTCCAGGAAAATCCTCCTGGTGTTTTGCAGGGGAGCAGCTGGGACAAGGACACCTTTGCCACACCAGCCCTTGGGGGGGTCAGAGCCACCTCTGCACCCACAGCCCCCCAAAACCCAAATAAAAATGCTCTGTGTGACCCTGCCATGGAGGAGCTGAGAAAAGGTGGATCCTGAACCAGGAATCTCATGGTCTCTCTGCAGGGGCAGAGGGGGCTCTGTTTGCCTGGGTGGTTTGTCAGGGATTTGGGAATTTTCTCCCTCCTACTGCAGCACCAACCCCGTTCTCAGGAGAGACAAACCCACCAGAGTCAGACAATCTGTCGTGGGATATTTCTGCAAACACAGAAATGCATCATCCTCCTGCTGCCGCTTATTCCTGAGGGATTCTGCCCCCCAAAAGACAGAAAACCGCCCCAAACCAGCCTCTCCCCACCCCTGCAGCACCACCTCCCTCCAAACACCCTGGAGGCAGCAAAGACTTCCCACATTCCACACCCGAACCTCCCTTTCCCGAGGGGGGAAATCAACTCTCTCCCGGGGTTATCTGCAATCCCACCACTGAGGTAACTGCTGGGGAGCAGTTCTCCCTAAAATCTTTAGGTCCCCAAGGGCTGCTGCAGGCTCTGGAATGCCCTTTTCCATGGATACCTCTTGCCCTGGGCGGCGTGGAGCTGCTCCTTGGTGGCGATGGCGTGTCTGAGGAGGCTGTCGATGCTCTTGAAGTACACGGTGCTGTCAGTCATGTTCTTGATGGCGCTGGGAGAGGGGGAAAAAAGGGGGATGGAGGCACAGGGAATTGCCATTCCCGAGGGTTTCAAGTCCCACAGTCCCCCTCCCTGAGGGAGAGGATTGTTGAGGGGGAATCTCAGTTTTAACTTCGCACCCGGCGGGCGGATTCGCGGAGAGGTGGGGGGGGGGGGGGAAGAGCTCAGAGCCCTGAAATTCCTGACAATTCCCGACATTTCCCAGCCCATACCCCCCTCCTGCTCATCCTCGCTCCCTGGGTGGATCCAGGGGTGGATCCTGGTTGGTTTCCCCCCTCCCAGGGCTGCAGGGGCGAGCAGAGGTACCTGCAGGCGTATTCCACGGTGTAAATGGCTCCCTGGCTCTGCTCCTCCCAGCTCTGCATGTCCGACTGGAAAACGGGAATGGCAGGGTCAGGAAGGCACTGCCCAGGGTCAGGAAGGCACTGCCCACAGCCCTGCCAGCCCCTCCCAAAACGAGGCTGCTTCCCACTGGGAAAGGGGCTCTGGGTTCCGTCTCTGAAATCGGGATTTCTGGAAGGGCTGCTGCAGGAATTCGGATATTCCGGCCCAAATTCCCTGTGTTTGGAGGTGTTTTGGCCAGCTCAGAGTCACCCTCGGGCAGGGTGTGAGCTGAGCACTGAGCCCAATTCCCAATGTTTGGAGCAGCACCCACCCACAACCACTGGGATCTCCAAGGTGGGATCCCAACTCCTGTGGAGTTCAATCCTTAGTCCTTCCTAAAAAAACATAAAGAGGGAAAAGTTTTCCCAGCGCTCCAAATTCAGGTTTCATCAGGTTTCCTTAGATTTGCCACTCCAATGTTTTTCCCAAACTCCAGAGGCTGATCCCAAGCAGGAATCTGCACCATCTCCTTCTTTTCCCAGCTGGAATGAGCCCTGTAAACCCCCCACAGACTCGGCTCTGCACCCAGTCAGGCCTGGCCCGGGTTGGAATTCCAGCCCCACGGCTCCCAAACAAAGGGAAAACCCAAACAAATCCGGGAATCACGGCTGAACTCGGGGGTGCAGCTCCACGGATAACGATTCCCAAAGTCCTGGAGGAGTTTCTGGGCACTCCAAAGGGTGTTCTCACGGGAGCTCATTCTGCTGGAATAGTTAACAGGCACCAGAGGAAATCCAGAGGCCTCTCCTGAGTGGAGGAGGTCGGGAAGGAGCTTGGACTTCATCCAAAACTTTTCCTGCTGCTCAAAGCCTGGAATTTGGAGCCCAGAGCCCGGGATACAAAAGGAACAAGCCCCTACATGCCAGGGGCTCTCTGCAGGAGGGGGTCCTTCTGTCCTAATCCCAAAGTGCCACTGGGAACACGCCTGGGAGCTGCTCCAGAGCCAGGGATTGTCCTGCAGCTCCTCCCCCCCGCTCCTGGGCAGGGATGGAAACAATTCCCTCCATTTCCCTCTGTCCCCGGGGCACATTCCCTGGAAACTGGGACCATCCTCATGAAAAGGAAGCAAGTGACAGCTGAGGGATGAGATCCCAAGCCAATCCCCTTGGAATGTGCCACCAGAGCCCTCCCACAGCGGCACTTATGGCAAAGCTCAATAAATCATTGGATACTCCAGTGTCCCAATCTGGGGAAATTTGGGAAGCAGAGCATTTAATACCAAGGTGAAGGGGCCCTGACAGTGCATTAGCACGGACAGGAGGCAGGAAGCCATTCCAGAGGCATCATTCCCAATGAATCCTGGCTGGCAGAGCAGGGCTGGCACTGAAGCGCTCCGGAGGAAAGCTGGGATGGGCAGTTCATTATCCCATGGTTTTCCCTCCCCCCCTCTCCCCCTGCTCCTCAATTTAGGGAAGGAAAAACCTCTCCCTGCAGGGCTTGTTTTGCTTCCCCTCCAGCTGAGAATCCCAAGTTTTTGGCCTCAGGTGTGTGGATAAATTGGCAACGTTCCCTTTTCCCGTTCCATTCAGATCACAGGGGGATTCCCTCCCTCCTTCCTGTTCTCCCATGAAAATAGGGAGGGATTTAGATGATTTAGGAATGGAAAAGCTGGGAGAGCTGGGATTGTCCAGCCTGGAGAAGAGAAGCTTTGGGGTGACCTGATTGTGGCCTTCCAGGACCTGGAGGAGCTGACAAGGAACACAGAGAGGGACTTTGGAAAAGGGATGGAATGACAGGATAATGGGGAATGGCTTCCCACTGCCAGAGGGCAGGGTTGGATGGGATATTGGGAAGGAATTCCTCCCTGGGAGGGGCTGGGATGGAATTCCCAAAGAAGCTGTGGCTGCCCCATCCCTGGAAGTGCCCAAGGCCAGGCTGGAGCAGAGAAGCTCCGGGGAAACCTCAGAGCCCCTTCCAGGGCCTAAAGGGGCTCCAGGAGAACTCTGGACAAGGGGCCTGGAGTGCCAGGAAAGGGGGAATGGCTTCCCACGGACAGAGGGCAGGGTTGGGGGGGGATTTTGGGAAGGAACTGACCTTGTGCTGGGCGAGCTCCGGGAGGGACCTGCGGACGTGCTCCTGCAGCCGGAACAGGGCCACCGAGGGCTCGTTGGCCAGCACGTACAGGCTCTCCGTGAACTTGTCTGTGACTGCAGGGAAACGTGGGATCAGGGAAAATCAGGAGCTCCAGGGCCTCGGGAAGGGTCCCCTGGCCCTGGTCCTGACACAGCAAGTGAGAGATCAGAGCAAAGCCCCACTTTTTTAATGTCAACTCCGTGGCTTTAACGTTAATGTGGCGGAGAGGGGATCCCAGAGAGCCATAAACATCTCCAAGGGGTGTCCAGAGGGTGGTGCTGGACTTCTTCCAGTGGTTCCCAGCAACAGGAGGAGGGTTAATGGCCAGAAACTAAACCACAACAAGTCCCACCTCGACATGAGGAGGAACTTCTTTCCACGGAAGTGGCAGAGCCTCGAACAGCTGCCCAGGGAGGCTGTGGAGTCTCCTCTCTGGAGACATCCCAAACCCACCTGGAGACATCCAACCCCTCCTGGAGACATCCAACCCCTCCTGGAAACATCCCAACCCCACTTAGAAACATCCAACCCCTCCTGGAGACATCCAACCCCTCCTGGAGACATCCAAGCCCCTCCTGGAGATATCCCAACCCCATCTGGAGAGATCCCAACCCCTCCTGGAAACATCCCAGCCCCTCTTGGAGAGATCCCAACCCCTCCTGGAGAGATCCCAACCCCTCCTGGAGACATCCCAACCCACTTGGAGACATCCCAACCCCACTTAGAAACATCCAACCCCTCCTGGAGACATCCCAGCCCCTCTTGGAGATATCCCAACCCCTCCTGGAGAGATCCCAAACCCTCCTGGAAACATCCCAGCCCCTCCTGGAGATATCTCAACCCCTCCTGGAGACATCCAAACCCGTTCCCACCTTTCTTCACCTTCAGCTGCATCTCCGGCTCCTCCATCGCCGCCCGCCGCCACTTCCGCTTCCGCCGGCGCCCCCCGGAAACCGCCCCGGCCGCGCCCCGGCGGCGAAAACAGCGCCGGGTGGAAACTCGGCCGCGGAGACACCGTTCCGCTCAGCCCTTGAGGTGTCTGGGGGGGTCCCCCCTCCCCTAAAACCGGGCACCCCCGGACTCAGTGTCCCAAACCGCCCCCTCCAGGGTCACATCGCGGGGCGGCCTCGGGGTTGCCCGGTTTGGCCGCCCCCGGGTCGGGCCGGGGCGCCCCCGTTGCAGAGGGGAGATGGGGGTCGGGGGTGTCACCCCCCGGCCATCCCCCCCCTTCCCGGGGCTGCGACACCCTGGGGACCCCCCTGGACCCCCCCGTGTGCCCTCACAGCCCCCCGTGGCGCTGTGGGTGTTTGGATACTCCCATTCCCGTGGTCTGGGGGCTGAATCCGCTGCCCGGGGCGGGATGAGGGATAACGGGGGGGGGGGGGGGGGTGTCCCCAAGATGTCCCCAACGTGTCCCCAAGGCCGGGGAGGGGGGTGTCCCGCCGCCCCTCTGCCACCCTGTCCCCGCCATCCCTGTCGCTTTAAGGCCGCGTTCCCTCCCCCATCGTCAGCGGGCGGGTGGAGCCGGGACGGGACCCCCCGAACCCCCCCAAAACCCCCCAAAATTCCCCCCTCCGGAGCCTTCCCGGCAACGGGGAACAGAGAGCGGAGACCGCGGTGAGGGGCTGGGGAGGAATACTGGGGGTTTGGGGGGGGGGTCCCCCCTTCCCTGAGCTCCGGTGAGCGCTGGGATTTGGGGGGGGGGGAACAAGGGGGGGACCCCCAAATTGTGCCGCGGGTTGGGGGTCGCAAGGACTTGGTGCTGGGGGGGGTGGGTTGTGTCCCACATATCCCTCGCTTTTCTCCCTCTTTTCCCCCGCTTTTCCCCCTCTTCCCAACACTTTCTTGCAGGTTCACCCCCTCCCCCGAAGGTGAAGGAGCAGCTGGTGGGGGTCGCGGAGACCCCCCCCAAAACCCCCCCCGCCCCGAACCACGGGGACGCCAAGGAAAAGGGCGAGAATTGGGGGGGAACGGGATGAAAACGAGGAGGAGGAGGAAGAGGAGGAGGAGGAGCTGGAGGAGAGCAGGGATGCGGGGGACGGAGGGGATAGTGAGTCTGGGGGCGACGGGTGGGGGATGCGTGGATCCGGGATCCTGACCCCCCGGAAAATCGGGATTCAGGGGATCGAGGTGCCCTCTGCCCTGGGGTGGGCACAGTGGGGTCCCCGCTGGGCTGGGAATGGTGGAATATCTTGAGTGGGGAGGGATGAATCAGGATCATCAGTCCGACCCCTGGCCCTGCACAGGACACCCCAACAACCCCTGCCCCTGCACAGGGCACCCCAGAAATCCTGGTCCTGCACAGGGTACCTCAACAACCCTGTCCCTGCACAGGGCACCCCAAAAATCCAGACTCTGCACAGGACACCCCAGAAAACCCTGGCCCTGCACAGGCCACCCCAACAACCCCCTATGCCTGCACAGGGCACCCCAACAATCCTGGTCCTGCACAGGACACCCCAAAAATCCCC